AAACAATACATTAAAATCGCCACAAAATATAATAACTTAATATTATTATGAGATTTGAAGGCCTACTCAACGGCATTGATCCTAATCCTTGGTCCCAACGCCACGGCTAGCACTTTGACCGAGTAATCGATGCCTACTTTGGCCACACCTATCGGTACGGCTCTTATGTCCTATAATTATAGTTATAATTATAATTATAATAAATACAAATACAGTGAATATCTCATAAATAACATACAATACTAGAGTCACGTATACCACCCATGTTAATAATGGAGCCATTGGTGGTGTTTAGGTAGGGGTGGACCAGTTGTATGAGCTGTAAGGGGGCCCTCAGGTTGACCGCCATAACAGCATCGAAAACATCGGTCAGATTCTTGTCATCAATGGTCGCCAGGAGACCAATGGCCGCGTTGTTCACCAATACATCTAACTTTCCAAACGTTTCAATGGTTTCGTTGACCAATCGGTTCACGTCATCAGGTTTTGCCAAATCGGCCACAATTTCTAATGGCTTTCATTGTTTGGCAATTAATTGTTTAATTAGTTTTTGTATGATTTTCTAATTACCTTTAGTTTATATGGAGATAATTGTTGAGCCTCTTTAGCCACGCGACTAATATCTGTGGCATTCCTACCGGTGACCACAACACTGGCCCCTAATCTGGAGAACTCTTTTGTGGTGATCTCTCCGATGCCAGAGCTACTTCCGGTCACCAAAACTACTTTTCCCGTAAAATTACGACCATTTGATTGCCAATTATGCTGGATGTTATTAGTTGGCACCCTGATTATTTTTGCGCTCACTATTGATATAGTAATAAACAATAAAATCTTATTGAAATACATTATTTTTATTTCGACTTATTATTTAGAAATTAATATTATAAACTACACATAAATTTATTATGATTTTTATTTGTTGCTGGTATTTATATAGGCATTTGTTGAGGAAGTAAAGGACCTTGATCATTAATTGAATAAATAAAGTTAATATGATTGACTATGGTGGTTATCTGTAATTATTCAATGCACTAAATATTAATCAATAAAACAATTGATATTTTTAAATACACTTTAGTGCAAAATAACATATTAATAGACAATTTTTAATCATAAGTGTATTAAACAATAATCAATGAAACAATGTTTTTGCACTATTTAGTGCAGTTAAGAGTAATATAAGATAACAATTGCTTTCAATGTTTACAAAAATGAGACATACTTCCAGTAAATTGCAAATTACGTGAAAAGATATTGTAAATTAATATTGTATATATGTATTGTATATATGAAAGTTTACAAAACGACTAGTGTCTCAAAGTCCAACAAAACGGCCACCATTTCCCCAAATGTAACATTCAACTGGGTAACATTGTGCTCATAAAACTTTGTATGGGGCGGGTAGTTATTTTCATCACCAAAACACCAGTCCTTAAAACTGATCTCTTGGCCCCTCAGCACCAGATGAATGGTATAAAACTCTTGTCTCCAGTTCTTGTAGTACTCTCTGTACACCTTAGGACAGGCTGCCGGTCCGTCCACACCGAACTCACCGATAACCCGGTGCACGAGGTGTGGCCGCTTGTATAGTATACGTTTGGTGGGTAACTCACCAATGTTATAATACCACTGATTCTTATCATAATCGTGGTATGAATCGTACCATAGACTCAAAAATCTGGCATTTTTATGAGCAACGAGTACCTGACTACCCAGGTATTGATCCAAATCCCAGTTGAGGGTCATCTCAAAGTGACGGAATGGGTCCATAGATTTGCATACATACACATCCCTGTCCAGGTATATGCCACCGAACTCCATGAGCACCCGTATTCTTGTTAGATCGGACGCATGCCAGTCCCTCCACTCTTCACTCAGTGGTCGACCGAATATTTCCGTAGGTTTTTCTATTTGGCGCACAATTATCCTGGTGTTAATGCTGTGAGCAATATTAAGGGCTCGCTTGAAGTACTGTCCCTCCAGTTCATGGCAATCGCAGTGAATGTATATAATGTCCGGCCGTTGGTTCCTAAGCACCGACACTATAGACAGGAAGTGCGCGAACTCTATGCGATGTATAGTAAACAACGCGTAGTGAACAATGTTTGGCACTATTTTGTCCGGATATCCAGTGATGTTATCGTAGGGGTTGGGGTCAGGGATTATGAGGTTTTCATAATTGTGGTATGAATTGAATGGTTGTCTCAATCTGTAAATCAATATTAATATAACAATAATTATGATGGCTGAGAATAATAGTCGTTTTATGTGACTTCTCATTGCTTTTCAATCAAGATTTAAAATTTGTGTAAAAATACGTATAATATAATAATAAATAGATTTTTATAAGGAATTTATTTGAATGTTTTAATTTTATAAATTATTTTCATAATGACAGACATTAAATATGAAATATGCACATTTTGCAAAATCATTATTTGTAAATTATTATATTTAGGATACGAAATGAAAAATAATAATCTGAATTTTATGAAATTATTATTTCTATGTGTCATTTTGATAAACTGTTTGATACTGCTACAATTATTTAGTTAAAGAGAAAATGTTTAGATTTCATTTAAAACAGACCACATATTGTAACGCATGCTGAAAAGTCCAAGGGCTTTTACAAGTGTTTTCAAACATTATAATATGCATTAACCGTATAATAATTAATTAATTACTTCTATTAAGTTATATTACAATAGGAATGCAGAATATAAATAACATTTCAATAGTATTCAACTGATCTCAACAGCATATGCATATTGTTTCAGTTATTACCATGACACTTATGTTATGTAAATGATACCAATTGTACCAATGTGTTATATAACTTATATTGTACAGAAAATATCTCTGTAATATTCAAATGTTTATGTTTATAAAATATAATTCTAGTAATGTTTACATGTTACTTAAATAACTCTTGAGTTTTGAAAATATTTAAAGGATATGAAAGTAATTTTTGTAATTAATGTTTATAAACTCCAAAAAGACTATTCACAAATTATTAAAATATAACATTAGTAAACTTATTATCATGTTACTTATACAAACTTATAGAGTATGTTAATAGATTATAGTAAATAAATATTTCGGTAGCAGTTTTGTTAAACATTTTTGTTACAACTTAAGTGTTTGGTTTCAATAACTTATTTTATTAATAAGGGAAAGGTATTTAAAAAACTTTCTAATAACTTATTTCATATAACTTATTATTACTGTATAATACTTGAATAGAGTGTTAAAATAAAAAATAATTATATTTAATAAAATAATAAAAACTTAAATTATAGCAAACCAATAGACTAGTTAATTGTCAATATTAAGCTAGCACAGTAAAGTGCTGATTAATTCATTTAATCTGATGATTAGAATAAGATCCATTTCCCAAACCTTCCCCGACCTATTTGCCCACTAAACCAATCACAAACTCAATTGATAAAGTATTACTATATTTATTGTCTAACTATATTGTATTGTATATAAAACTATTGCTGGTCGACTTAGCAGTGAAACTATTCAAATTAACAATAAATAAGAAATCCGTTAATAGTAAGATTCAAACACCAAGAATCATTTTCTATGCGGTACTCGCATACTATATATTGTCTAAAATACTGTACATTTTTGGCGATATTGTTGTAATAAACTTATATGTTAATTTATTTATCAAGTATATTATCAGTAATTCTTATAGAGAAATACAAAATATAGAATGTAAAGTATACCTGCTACTTGTGATAAATTTATATAATTACTTTTATAATTTAGCAGATTCTGTTAAAAATGGGAGAACTAAATATATGGTAAATTAATATTGTATATGAAATGTTTATAATACGAGTTGTGTCTCAAAGTCCAACAAATCCGCCACCATTTCCCCAAATGTAACATTCAATTGAGTGACATTATGCTCATAAAATTTTACATGAGGCGGGTAGTTTTTCCCAAAGCACCAGTCCTTAAAACTGATCTCTTGGCCTCTTAGCACCAGATGAAAGGTATAAAACTCTTGCCTCCAGTTCTTGTAGTACTCTCTGTACACCTTAGGACAGGCTGCCGGTCCGTCCACACCGAACTCACCGATAACCCGGTGCACGAGGTGTGGCCGCTTGTATAGTATACGTTTGGTGGGTAACTCAC